CAATTGATGTGATAATGACAAGTATAAAATAGAAAAAAAAAACGAAAATGAACTTTAGCTCATATCTAACGTTGTAAAGATAACGAACAAACGAAAACTCAGGATGATGAAGATAAGATGTAGAACAAGAGGAAGAGGAAGATAGAAGTGAAAACAATAAAATCTGAGATTAGTATGAGAATTAAAATGAAGAGTGAGGCCAAAAACGGTTACGTGGCAATTGAACTTCTGTGCATAGTCCTGTTGCGAAACCATGTAACGCAGACCAGCACAATGGGTGGCAATGTTCAAGAATCATGTGACGAGCCAGAACAGGGCTTTTTCAATGGGGTCGGTAATGCGGGGTGGGTGGGTCATTTACCTTTTGTAAAAAAAGCCGGAATGTGTGAGATGACAGTGACCATGGAACCTTTACAGACGAGAAAGTGCAAAAAAATATAAGATTTAGACGCACTTCAAGGAAATCAGTACAGGTTATTCGTAGACCACCAAAAACAGCAGAGAACCTATTGAGGAAGAGGCGTATCATGTTGGAATAGATTATGTGACACGCTCTAAAAGGGTTTCTCTCCTTTAAACAGCACTAATTTTTGAGGGAAATACTGTTTTGAAAAGCTGGATCATCGCTTTGTAAAAAGCCCTGAGAAGTGCGCGAACGTTGTCTGGTTTATGGGGGAAATATGTATCGTTGGGAATTCGGAAACTTCGCGTAAAAACGAGTTTTTAGCTTGGAACAAAGAAGAATAACGAGGGAGCGAATCGGTACGTATCTAACCCTCTCCGCGGAGGGCCGTTGAGCAGCGTTCAGACTTCGCGATGGCAGCGCTTGGGTAGCGCGATTCGTACGTATCGATTGGTGGTTGTGCGAAGAGTCTGGCGGTTGCGCGAGAAGGTTTCGATATGTATCGAAGGGCGGTTCGGCGGAGCAGATAGGCTAACCTGACTGCCCTGGCGTTTTTCTCTAAGGCGGGGCCGGCGAAAACGATACACATCTACTGCTTTTCGCAGGCGTTTCTCCAAAGCGGTTGGCGATTCTCCACTCAGCGTATTGCTTTTCGCCAAACCGCTGCTTCGCCAGTGTCACAGACTGTGAACAATGCCTTACAAGGCTTCTGTCAACCGTTTCTCCTCTCGCTGTTAGGGATGTGGAGGTACTTTCTGGTGGAGTATTTGAACAGAGGAAACAAGGGACGGGAAGACAGAGGGAAGGATTAAGGATTAAGAAGGAAGGGAGGAAGAGGAGTGCTTGCGGTTGACATATATCCGGAGAACAGGTATAATAGGCGGATCAAGCGCGGTTTCCCGATGACTCAAATATCTAGAAGTAAAGATATGGCAAAATATTTACCTTCGCCCTTTTCAACGAGCGTTTCACGCACCATAACTGGACAATGGACGTTTGCGATCTGCGGAATTTCCGGGTGAGACGGTCCCTGAAAGTCACGTGACTATGGTCAATGCAATTACATATTACTGCTGTTAAAATGGTCTGGATGAGTTTCTGCTGGAAGTTTTGTTATTTAGGAAATGTTAGCTGAGAGAGCAGATCACAGATGAAATGTAGAACTCAGACATACATGGATGCCAGAAGAAGTAATCAGGAGGGCTGAAAAATGGATTTTCAGAGTCCAGAGGTCAAACGGAGCTGAGGTTTGTGAAGGCTCATAAATGCAAGCGCTATTTTACCCACTGTTTACAATTCAGTAGAGCTGCGTTCATACCGTGTGGCAGACTAGGCGACTTGGGAGACACGGTGATCTGGGAAGCTCAGCGATTCGTGAGATTGCGTGGCAAGAAGAGTGTGAAGGCGGAGAATTGGCGATCGGGCGACCTGAGCGATTCGGCAATTCGAGAGACTCGGCGATCTTCCAAAGCGCCGGCTTGCTCGATCTCCGCAGTCGCCCGATCAATATACTTATGGGCAGCATGCGATAATTTCCTAGTAATCTCCACTCTCTACCATTATCTCTACTGATGCCCCTCGTTCCCTGGCTCTCGCCGCTCTACTTACCTTCTGGCGCACGCTCTGTACGAATATAGTGCAGCGCAGAGTATAATCGATATTCTCCCCTCTTCCCCAGCGATGTCACTGAGAGAGATTTGGAGATTAGGGGGGGGGGGGCAAAGACGCAGATGGGTATAGGAAGAGAGACGAGGGGCATCAATGAATATAACGGCAAAGAGCGGAGGTTTGGGGGTGGGTCTCCCGCAGTATTCAGACTTCGCGACGGCAGCGCTTCGGCCGCGCATCGGCGCGATCGATGCGCATGCTTTCTACTGCATCGATCGCGTCGAACGCACAATCCAAACGCTGCCTCGCGAAGCCTGAACGCTGCCTGCGGGAATTATAGCGTACGGCCCATGGTTTCTTCGTCGCCCAATCTCCAGATCGCCAAATCTCTCTAGTCACAAAGTGTGTACGCGACTCGAAGCACTTTTTTTTCCACAGACCCGCCGTAGCATTTCACCATGAGAAATTCCTTTCAAGCGTAACCCTGTTCTCCTGCGGATTAAAATACGACGACTTGCTGAAAAACATTGAATTGTAGAACTACTACAATAAAGAACCTTGAATTGGTGCAGAACTACTACAATAAAGAACCTAATAGTTCCTTGAAGGCGAAGCCCCTGTAGCAGATAAGAAATTCACATCAGACAGCGGACCAAGAACATCGAATCGTAACAATAAGTATCATCTGCCGAGCCGATAACATTACGCAAGTTACGAATGAGGCCCAAAAAGGTAAATTTTCCACAGTATTAAGCGAGAATCCGACCCTGTAGTGCTACATATAGTTTGTGAAATATTCTACCCGAAGCAACTACTGTTTTTATGATTCAAATTCTGTAGATCATACTTGTTACTAATAAATGAAACCGACAAGCATAACATCCAAAAATTTGCAGGAATTTACAAAACTGCAGTAAGCAAAGTAGACTAGCCATGTACTCCGCAAGCACCAGGGGGAGTAAGTGTATCCATTTTGAATCTGAGAACATTAATGACTATTTGTGAGAAACTAGAAAGAGTTCAATGAAAATGGTAGCATTTCCAACGTCACGATCTGACTAAATTGCCGGCGGCTGCGGAGCGGTTGCGAACTGGAGCGCGGAACCAGGCGAAGCACAACGACTCCTTTGACTCCTTTCTATTGTTTGTCACATTTCTTGCACCGAAACCAAAACTAAAGTAAACCATTCGACTGAAAAGTAGTGAAACAGATCAGCAGCTTTCTATGGAGTTCCCATTACGTGAAGAGTAATTTATTTAGTCTGCTTTGGACTGGATTTCGAATCTCCCTCTACCCTCATTTATACCATTTTCGTGACGAGTTCGGCACTTTGCGAACAAAATCAGCAATATTCAAGCTAAATCATCACCTATTGAGCAAACATTTAGCCAAACTTATGTGATATGACGATTTCAACTGAACTACACTTCGACCGGTCAAACCCTTGGAATATACGGTAAGTTTGCTGAAACCACACACGATGCCAAGGTTTATGAGCACTCGAACATGGAAGCATAAGCAAACCTATCCCTCTTTCAGGTTGAAATTAACACCCACACTCACCATGGACAGATAAAACAGATCAGCGTTGCGGCGCAAGTGCGAATTAGTTTCAAACCAAGCGGATGCGACGCGTGTGCTAGGGAGTGAAAGTAGCTCTGATGGCAAAAATCTAGCGGCTATTTTGAAGGGTGGGGCATCTAAGGGTAATGCCTGTTTGCTGCTAAAACTCTACAGTACCCATATATTCAACATTTGTCCATAAGAGCCATGAATTCCAACATCAGCCTTTGCGGAACCAAAATCAGAAGTGAGGCGGAAGCATGGCGTACACACGTCCCCGAAAAGTTTCCTTTTGGTGTTGGCGGTACAGGACGCGCATTTACAACCAAACCTAACCCCGGGGAGAAGTTGACATGGGAATCTACCCAGAGTTCTAAAAGGAAACACGAGGCAGTGGCGAGACTGGGGGAGTTTAGGACCTTTCCGACGTGTTCTATAAACAAAACACCACGCGCAGCGCCATCGACGTCAACACCTTTCCTCCACAGCCCGAAATGGTTTGAGGTCCAAAACATGAGTGACGGAGGCGAATTTTACAGCGACCATTTGTTGCCTGCCCTTTGTTGGCGGTTACAATTGCTTGGAATGATGCCTAGTATCGTAGATCCTTATTACAGTCTGGTTTGCTGCGGACGATGAGGCGTGTCCACGCTACTGCGCTTGGCGCGCCCCCTGCCCGTTCTCCATCCATTGTTGAAGCAATAAAGACCACTCTCGGTGGAGCGACTGTTACAAACGACATTATATAGTCTTGTCGCTTGCCGAAAGGTCAAAAAGGGAAGCGGTTTGGTCCGTGCAAAACGCAGCCACTGACGCGCCCCATCATACGCAGCGAACAAGGCTGTACAGGCATGATGATTACAGACACCACTACTCCATGAAGCTAAGAAGTTGACCTTTGTGCTTTCAGGCATTCATTCCAAACGATGGGTTATGAAAGTGGACGCACGCGGCACAAAATTAGGCGTACTACGGTTGCCCCCGTAGTACGCAATTACACGGTATTTTTGCGACATCGCGCTATTGCGAGCAGAAATTTGGCTAAGTAGAGGATAACAGTTATTAGAACGAGCTGGTTACCTCCAGTTAATGAATAATGATGATTGCTACAAATAGATAAGTTTGACCCTGGGTCGTAGGGTCTTCCGAGGTGGGTGGGCCACTTTCGTAGTCGGGAGTTGGGTTTCTCATGATTTTGTGTAACCCTTTGACGAGCTTGGGCATTATAAGCGTGGTTTTGACATTCCATATTGACCCCTGCTCTAAGATAATCCATGTCGCCAATAAGAACCCGAGAAAAAATGAGGTGCCTTCTTAGCGGTGCATAAACTCTAATTTGCATGTCCATCATATGTTCTATGTTTGCAAGGGCATATTTGCTACATTTTATGTGCTATTTCTTTTTTTCGCGCGTTTAACTGTAGTATGACTTCTATCCAAATTGCTTCATTTTCAGTGTCTCCTGTGGCTAATTTTATAATGTCGACTCCATATCTTGACGACAGACATATTGCAGGTGCGAAGTTTTTAATTGTTAGTTTTTCAGCCTTTTCAGATTAGCTTTTTATAAGGTATTTTTTCTACAGCTCTCGAAAAACTTGTCTCTGACAATGATGATGTGGAGGAGGCCGCCCCACCCAGAGTTGTTCCGATGTATGTGGTGAGTACTTGCATGTTCATACTAATAGCTGAGACTTGTTTCGCTTCGATGGCGCTATTGTGCTTGGTCTAGGGTGCTGCAGAGACTGCCCAAGGTTAAATTTAGTGGTGTCCATGAATCGTGTTTCAATATCCATTTATGACTGTTAACGTTGCAATCAGTTGGGGCGGTGTCAAAAGGGGCGGAACGTGCCCGCATCCGGCTGCCTTGCTCTACCAATGGTGATCGATTAGTGATCGCCTTAGAAATACAACAGCCAGTTACGGAAGCGCGTGCGTGTGCGTCATTCCATCCCGCTTAACCGCCAGACTAAGGCGACGTTACCAGCTGTATCTATTGACTTTTGCAGCAAGAAACACCTTGCTCACCACACGAACATCCATTGGAATTCACTTACGTCTACTCGTTCTTCCTTCGACCACCCGGAAAATTTGACCCAATTGAGTACGCCCAAAACGTTCAACAAATTGCAGCGGTTCGTTCCGTGGAGCAATTTTGGAGTGTCTACCGGCACATTAAACGGCCTTGCGGTGAGCTCTTAGTATTTCTTCTTATTACATCTTACCTAATTTTTGAATTGTGACGATGTCAGGAGTTACCGTGAAAAATCTCCAGTATTTATCATAAAATTGTATTATATAAAACTTATATATCTATACTTTCACCTGGCTGTCCTTTATTTGCTGCGGTCCTGAGCAGTGTTTGTGAAATTCTCGAGTTCTTTAGCGCTGTATTGGTGAGCTTTCGAATCATAAAGCACGCCCCGCGTTCAGGCGTGGTCGCTAGAGCTTCCTCACTTGCTGCGCTGTTGAGCCCTCCCTCCCAGATTATCAGCATCAATCTCACCGATGGAGAGGGCTTGCCCACAGGAAAACCACCACACCTCTAAGATGAAAGCTGGGCATTTCCTTGGCCTGTGGACGGGGCCTCGGCTTCTTCGGGAGCGGGTCGCGCTTTCTCACGTGTTTTTAAACTGCAGAAGAAGTGCATACCGATGCTTGCGGGCAGAATCTACCATGTCCTGTAGAGCCGGCCCTCTGAACGTCAACATGAACGCAGCGTCTGTCTCGAACTTCCCTTTTTAGTTGGACGCTCATTTCTGCTACCTATACATTACACTCGCATGTCTGATCACGAAGCCACTTTCACTTTACTTCTTCAGATATTGGCGAAAAGGTAGATGTCCATTTCTTCAAAAAGGGTATCAAGCCAGTGTGGGAAGATGAGGCTAATATCAAGGGAGGCAAATGGATTCTCCGCTTGAAAAAGGTATGTTATCTGTATTATAGCAACTTACAAGTTCCCATGTGCTAACTTACTGCACTATGTTTCGTCAGGGTCTATCTTCTCGCATATGGGAAAACTTACTGCTTGCTATGGCTGGCGAACAGTTCCTTGTTGGTGATGAAATTTGCGGAGCAGTGTGCTCTGTTCGCAACCAGGAAGATATAGTGTCGTTGTGGAACAGGTAATTTCATACTAGATGCAGCCGAACATTATGTGTACGTACGATTAGCCTTCAAATTTACCTAGCCTTAAATTAGTTTGATATTTTGAGTACAGATGGAAGCTAGCGAGTTTATCTTTTTTTTATGATTTCCGTTTTAAAGTTCTACGCTCCACTATGAGCTGAGAATCTCTGATTGATCAAAATTGTTTTTTGTTTTGTTATATACTAACCGTTCAATAGGAAGCGTTCCCGAACTATTAGGTTGCTGCATACAGTGCGTAACAAAAGTATGTGGACACCTGAAATTTTTGTCCTGCAACACTTTGAATTTTGCGATATGGGACCTTTACTGTTGAATTCCTCATTAAGCGAATAACAATAGCGAATAACACTACTTTAAAGCACGTTAGGGACTACAGAACAATTATTTATGTGTTTATGAAAAAAGTTTTGCCTAATAACAAAAGTATGTGCCCGACACTTGAGTAGCGTGCGGAAATAGATGAACTCGTCTTCGCTGCCAGGGTTCACTTACTACTTAGAACATTTACTGTTCTGGCATGCTGCTGCGACAGATTTTGTCATGGGTGCCTTCGTCGATTGTCCTCCCAGTGGCAGCAAATCGTGATTGGCGCGTCCCGTGCGAGAGATGCGTCGCGAGCGGGAGTTTTGTACTGCCCACTATTCATGTAGATTCGTCGTGCAACCATGCTTGGCCCACAGGATTTTCGGTGCGGTTGCGCAGCAGGGAGTGAGACGGACGCGGCCGAAGTGCAACACTTGTGCATAGCCGATTGCGTTGGCAGCCATGTTTCTAGTGATTTTGAAAACATGCACGACGGCGTTGCTCCTGCGCAGGGGCACTATTTGGCGTGCTTGCGTGCGTGTTGCGTGTGCGCTCAGAAGCAGGCAATGACGTTAGGCACTTAAGCACTCCCTGGTATCTCACTTTCATATGCAACACGAGTGGAAGGTTAATGCTCCAACTTTGCCTCTGCCTTCTAAAAGCCACCCCGTACCATTCAAAGCAGGCTCCTTCTGAAAACTTTGCGTCTCCGAGAACGACGCGAGACGGAACGGCCGGTTCAAAGGGCCTTCCCAGCTGTGTGCATGCTGCATACCATTTTGACTCCGTCAAGATTGCTTTCCTTGATCAGTTTTGAAGATAACTTAAGAAAAAAGTGGCATAAGCATGTGCCTTGCTGATGTTACAAATATCGTGCGAAGAGAACTGAGCAGCGGTTTGCGCGCGAGGTACGGTTCGCCACTTTTGCACGCGCAAAGTTCAGTCTTGCCAGCTGGTGCCTGGCAGTCAGACAGGGAGCTTTCTTTATGGTCTCTTGAGTGATGTGCTCACTTGATCGAATAGAGCCATATTGTCATTTTTGAGACCGGTAGATTCATCGCGGCATGGATCTGTGCCACAGAAAGCGGGGAGTTTGAGGCCATTCTTCTGATGTCTTTTGCGGACAAAGATCGTGGGTGCCTCGAAACAGGTACTGAGTGGTAGCCATCAGGATTCTGGAGGTATATACCAACGCACGTCGCCGAAAGTCCAAGCTATCTTGCAATTTCTCTATTCGAGTGTCCTGCAGCACTGAAAGCTCGAATCCGAGCTTGTTCGTCTTCGTAGGAGAGGACTACCACGACGAGGCATGAGTACAGGTTAATGGGGACTAGAGACCATAAAAATGGATTGCAGATCTGGAGCCAAACTTTGGACTTCCTCAGGTGTCCACATACTTTTGTTATTAAGAAACTTTTTCAAAACAATAAATAATTGTACAGTAGTTCACAAAGTGCTCAGAAGTAGTGTATTCCTATGTTTTCGCTTATGAGGAATTCAACAATAAAGGTCTCATATCGCAAAATTCAAAGGCAATTTTGCAGGACAAAAATTTGAGGTGTCCACATACTTTTGTTACGCACTGTATGTTTCTGCCCCTGTTTTGATCCTTCCGTATTTCGTTTGCATGGATGTTGGTATTTCGTCATCACGTGTGCGTGACGTGTACATGATACTCTTTCATCACACTAGCTATCACTCACCCACCCTGCATTTGCAGGCCACAATGCCGCACAATTACCACTGTGAAACCATGTCACAGTGGTGATTGTGCGGCATTGTGGCCTTCTTCGGGTCCCAGCCCCCGTCCTTCTGGGAGGATGGAATCGACAAGCTGCCTGAGCGTTGGCGTCGAGTAGTGGATGGTGATGGTGCATACCTCTAATCTTCAGGCTGGTTCGCTATTGAGATATTTACAAAAAAGTCGGGGCCAAAAACATATGCATTGACCATAGTCAGCAGTGTTTTTGGTCAATGTGAATGTGATGTTTCATTCACTGGGCATGTATGTTTTTTTCTTCCACGTAAACGTCGCAGTACACCAAGGTTTTATTGCTAGTAGATAACGTTAAGGCTGCGGTCATACTTTTTAACTAGGAGTTTTCAGGAGAATAGTCGTTCTGGGAGAATCGGTAGCGCGAAGGCAGAGGTGTTTCACTCACATATAACTCGTACCGCACAACCGCCAGGAATGAGCTGTACTGGTTGTAGTTTGTTGTCTTACCGCACTATCATTACTAAGATATTGCTTGCCTAATGAGGGTGTAACAATTCTGAGCCTTACAAAACCAGGTATTACAGTCTTTTTTGCTGGATGACGGGGCGTGTCAGTGGCTAAGTTTGGCGCGCCTTCGCCAGTTTTTGAGGTGCGTTGGCGCCGAAAAACAATGCAAAACGACTGATACGAACGATACGATACAGTATTGTCGCTTCGGCAACTAGTAGAAAGCAGATCTGGCGTTGCGCCAAGCTACAAAACTATACATCTAGTTTACTCGTTCCCAAGCGCCAGAAATCAAAAATACTGCATATGAATATTGTCGCAGCAGTCGTAATTGTCAGCTTAGTTGGAATGCACCGTCGGCCTTGATGTGACGGTTCGCCTTGGTTTTATTGCACCAATGTCCCGTTATGTTGCTTGAATGTAGCGACAAGGGCTTCTTCTACATTTAACTTTCTTGATTCTGATTCTTTCCATCCCTTCCTCTCTCTCTCCCTTTTTCATCCATTTACAGTCGTATGCGCATTCGTTTCAATGATCTTGCCCGGTAGGTTCAGTCTTATCACTTCCGATTTGACCTGTTTGATCGCTCTTTGTCGATTTTCTTTCTGCCCTTTGTTTCGTTTTGCTGGCCTTGTGCTAGGTCCTTTATTGTTTCTCTTTGTCTTTTTTTTGTGCGCTTCAAGTTCCATGCGGCCGACATTTTAACAATTACTCTTGCTTAAGCATCTTTCATTCTTTTTGTTAAACTGACCAACCCTGAATTTTCGTTTTTGTTTATTGGAAAAAAAAATTGGCTCTTTCTGTGCTGTATGAGGGCTACAGCATAAGATCTTGAAGAGCTATGTGTAGTAAGGGTCGCACTTCACCGACACGCCTTTCAGACCCACACTTTTGATTGTTGTACATTACTATCCACTCTACTTCTCACTTTCTGTAGCCAAAATATAAGAAAGCTGTTATTTAAACGCAAGCAGAAGTGTGTTTCAGGACGGCTGATAACATTGGAGTTACAAATCGCATCCGCGACACGTTACGCCGTGTTCTAAACCTGCCGATTAATGCTGTCATGGAATATAAACGTCATGACGAGTGTTTGAAGTACGTTTTCTACACTTGTTTTACTGTCTTTCTCAGCGCTTTCATACTTTGCGATCTGGTCGCGCGATTCGAACAGTCGAGCGATCCGATCGCACTATCCAAGTTATGGAATCACCAGTTGTGAACGCACGCTCACATCCACTTTTTTGTCGTCTCTACATACAATGTGGGTAATCGTTGGGTTCAGTTGTTATTGTGTTGAAGTTTTATCTTATTTATCTACTTACTCGTTATTACTCTATTACGTCCTCATCTTATACTTCCTATGTTCCGTTCGCTATTGCAACAATGATTCGTGAAAGGTCTGTGAGCAGCGTTCGTTCAGACTTTGCGATTACGCGCGTCTACGAGTTCCTTTTGCAATCTGCGGCAGCGCAGCCATAACAGATATCGATCGGCGCAAGCTGCTACTGCTTTAAGAGAGTATGAAAGCAGGGAGGGTGAACGGTGCTTGATCACAAAGTGTGGTACCCTTCTATTCTGGCATACTATTTCTTTGCAGTAGTGGTCGATCGATACCCGACCGATCGATAGCCTCTATGGCCACGTTTCGGTCTGTAGCACTAGAGCGTGGTTGTGGCGGTAGCGCGTCGACGCGCTTCATCGCGGACTCTGAACTCTGCCACTTTCCTCTCGAATAGAGTCCGCCGCAAGGTGCAGAACTCAGAAGAGCGAAACCCTTCGGCAAAAATCTGCCATGTGCAATAGTGTGCGGCAATCTAATCCAAATCAATTAACACTTTAACCTGCCTTTTCTGATGAAGAATGTGTAAGTGTTTTATTTGTCAATACTGTTTATATGATATTTGCTAATTTAGTATCTCTATCTAGCTATTGGTATCTATCTAGTATTTTAGCTATCTAGTGTCTAGCTACTGGTAAATTTCTGCAATGCCGATGCTCAGCTTAACTGAGTGGAGTTGACTTCCAGCGCTGTGTTGAATGAGGCACTAATCATATAACGTTGGAAACAAGACAGGGTTTATTAAATGGAGAATGCAGCAGTCCGTTGCGCCATTTGTAACTAGACAGGGTTACTAACTGCATCAAAGACAAGTCCTGCCACACTTAACATATGATCGCGGGAATTGGAATTGTTTTCCCCTATTAAGTAGTCTAGAGAATGAGGTCGAGACCTCAGTCGTCCAAAAGCTGCGGTCGAACAACTTGAGCCTGCCATAGAATAGGGGTCAAAAGATCTGCTCAAGGTTTAGGACTCTGTTTGTGGTTTATCTTAGTTTGTTATATTCATTGTGTGCTCATCTCCACGGATCCTGGTCCCTACCGAGTGCGTGTGGAATGGATCCGCAGCTGTGGTATCGTGCCTCTTTCTCTGCTCAAAAAGTGCACGAAA